GTTAACCCACCGCAGCTGCATCTTCTAAATAATGCCGCGAGTGGGGATTGAGGAAGTGACGTCGCCTGCGTCTGCGCAGTGCGCTGATGCAGCCCTGAGACTCAGGAAACAGAAATATTGCATTTCGTCTCGTCTCGTTTTGGTCAAAGACAATGAAGAGATATTTTAGTTTTTATTTATTTTGCAAACCACATTTAGTCCCGTTTTTATCCGTCAACAATATTGCATTATATATTAGATTATAGTTTTCGTCACATGACCGCCATTTACGCTGCGTCTCGTCTCCGTCACGTGACAAAGGTGCGTTGACGGCGATATTTAGTCATAATTTTAGTTACTTATATGTGTAGTTACCTGGACTTTACAATCCCAGACGTCTGCACAAGAAGAAGCTTCACTAATAACAGCTCAACACCAGTCAAACTCTGCCAGAGTACAAACTACTCGAATTAATTAGTAAATCAAAAGTATTTTTGACTCAGAGCAACACAGCAATGAGTATAGCACAGAGTTTATTGAGACAGGAAACAGTGGAGGCAGTTACATTTGCATTAAGAGAAAATTAAAACGGGACCGAGCCAGAATACAAAGAGACGTCTTAACCAAAATATGATCAAAATACACTAATAAAAACAGGAAATTAGGAATAAAGGCTGTAATGTAAGCCGGTTTCACGATCTGAGACTTCTCAGTATTTTCAGTTCCTTCTGGCTTTAAATTGATATAAATGTGGAAGTAAATCCTGGCCATTAGTGAAAGCAACCCACAAATATGAGCGTCGGTATTCGACAAAGTCATATCGGTCCGACTCCGTTCAAAGCGCCAGTCAGAAACTAACTGCATAACGAGAGGAAGCATTCACTTCTGCTCCACTTACTGATATTTTCGCTCTCGTTCTCGGTAACTATAAAAGAAGAGAGAGAGAGAGAGAGAGAGAGAGAGAGAGGAGGACGGGAGGAGGGGAGGAGAGGATAGAGGCTTCAGAAAAAGCCAGAAAGGTCACACATGCTTCTGGGTGTTTGTGTGCATCTGTGTCTGTGTCTGTGAGAGAAAGAGAGAGAGGCAACCCCAAATCCGATGGGCCGCCAATGGGTGATGAATTATTCCCTGTCTGAGTCTCAGCATTGGTGTTATCACAGAGCCTGCCACTGCACTGGGATGACAGCGGTGACAGCCCCCAGAAAAGATTTAGCGCTGACAAGTGATACTTCCTCATAATACATCTCCCTGGCCTTCTCCCCTGTCCCCCTGTTCCACAGCCTCTCCATGCACACAAGATGAGTTTTTTTATCCCTCAACTTATATTTGTTTAAGTGGGCAAGGTGGGGGGGCTCTTTGCCACCACTTCTGTGGCACAAGTGCACTAGGTACAGTAGATCACCTTGGAAGGGAGTCATGGGCACAAACCTAGACATACTTGTTTTCAATACATGTGTTGTAGGGGTACACACACGCAGAGAGAGAGAGACACATTCGCACACATACGCACAGCCTGCATGTGTGTGACTTGTCACCGAGTTCCATTAGGGGGCTCTCGTGCTTAAGGAATGCCTGTTGTGTTTTTGCATCAACAACAGTACTAAGCCATATTTCCCCACTTGTTTTCTCTTTTTGCTCTCCTCTGTTTCTCCCTTCTCTTCTTCTTTTTGTCCTTCTTCCTCATCCTCCTCCCCCTGCAGAAAAGGTCACGTATTGCCTACAGTGATGAGGTGCGCAACGAGCTCCTGGGGGATGACGCCAGCTCCTCGGAGAACCAGGTGAGGTGCTAATCAGGGGCCCAAACGACACCAGTGTGGGTGGCTGACTGGCCCCCAGGGTGAGGAGGTGGGCCCCTCATAGGGGCCATCGAGAGCTGAACCCACAGTATTGTCACCAAGTCATGCGGAAGGAACACTGTTTAATGCAAAGCTGGGCTGCCAGTGAGTGGGCTCAGGGCATGGGACCAGTGTCTGGCTAAAACCAGATTGTGACTGACGAACACACACACACGCACACCTAAACACAAACACAGAAATTTCAATCCAAAAACCCGGCCTCCCCACTCCAACCGTCCCACAGCTGTTCTCCAGCCGGGTGTGGACTTAGGCCAATAATAGATCCTCCATCCTCCATCAAGTTCCACACACATACGCAGACACACATGCACACTCAGAATTGCTAAATCTTGTTCTCTGGTCTTTCTTTAAACTCCAAGGGTGGAAAACCTGCACAATTCAGATACTCAAAATTAATAAGAATTCAGGTTCTCATACTGTTGGCGAGTGATATTTTAAAAAAAAAAAATATAATATATAAATATCAGTGAAATATTTTGGTGCTGTACTCCACAGAAATGATCCTTTAGCCCCTAAATGTTTTTATTCATTATTTAATATCAGCCTTTAATGAAAAATCTCAAATTCTATTTGACTTCTTAATCGTTTTGATCTATTATCTATCAACATATTCACAATTGTTTAATTGTTTATTAAAAGACTATGACTGACATTTTGTTTGAATATCAGTTCAGCCTGTTGAATTTGAGGGATATAAACAAAAGATAAAGACCACATTAACAATTTTCATTCATTGTCAGCAATCTCTACAAACGATTCATTCACAGCCGTTATGAAAGTGGCAATGAAGAAGAAAAACAATTATCTTGAATTGTGATCTTAATTGGCCAAAATATGCCACATGTAATTTTAAACTTAAGCTGTTTTGAATAAACTGTTTTGAATAATGCAGAACTGCATCAAAACAGTGACACATAAACGGATTCAGCAGCGTTTTAACATTTAAGACGCACTTACCTATTGCTCACCTGCACAGCTGCCACTCATACGCAGCCACTCTCAACTATGACCAAACGTCTTTTGACTAATTATATATTGCCTTTAGAATCGGCTGTCAACTTGGAGGGGTTACTGTGTCTCAAGGCGCACAATCACAAACACATGCAAATAAATACTTTGCATCTGCAAACGTGCACACTCAAAAAGGAAAAAAGAAAAATATGAATACTCAAATGCATATTTGCACATTTAGTCCCACAGTGCTTTATGTGAGTATATTTAGATGATTCACAGGGAAGCAAAGCTAAATAAAGTTCTGTTTTTTTTTTTTGAACATTTCCCTATTACCATTTCAATGATGACCCATGAACTCCACATCTTAGAAACATATGTATCACGAGCCACGATGTGTAATTGAAATGCATATTCCTGGCAAATTAGTGAGACACAAAAGTGACTGACATTTTATGCACAAGTTGGAAGGAGATTTGCTGTCAGAAATGTCACGTTTGAGACAGTGATGAGTTCTATCAGAATCCTGTCAAGGAAAAAGCTGAAAAACCATATCACATTTCATTTCAAATCTTATTTCCCTTTTATTAAAAATTCATCTAAAAATATTTAAAAATAATATTTACAAATCTAGATCTAAAAGGAAATTGTTGGAAAATAGAATATATAAGTATAGAATTAATGCTCTAATATATTTTTATATTCTACGTTTAGGAAATAGATGTTTTATTGTTGTAATTATTGTTTACAATTAATGGTTATCCTTGACAAGAATTATCAATTGTATTTTATAGTGTTTTATATCAAATAATTTTATTGCTAAATGAAAAACACTAAAATGTTGTGCTACTTGAATCCATGCATGCACACGTGTCAGGAAAAATAGAGGTAGGAGAATGTGACATCTGTGAACACTGAACTCATTCTTAATTCTCAGTTCACATCAAAATAATAATGTAAATCATGAAATAAGCATTAATAAAATAAAAAGTTATGTTTATATGTACAAAATATATTTGTCTTATAACATATTTATCTTTGGAAATTAAGGCAGAACATGATGCACTTTAAAAAAAAATCTAAGCTACAGTAAGTGACATTTTCATTTTTTTTTATACCGCTCTTCATTCTATTCTCCCATTTTCTGTTTTGATTACCAGGACTCCAATCCTTAATATGTTTAAAACATACTTATTATATATATATAGAAGTATAGATACTTAATAAGTACCATGTAATATATCAGTATACGTATATAGGAATACATGATATAGTACCATTCATTATTGAATTGTGGAAAATTAAAAAGTAATAATTAGCAATAATAATGTGTGAGGTGAAACTTTAAAAATTGTAATTATACAATATATCTGAAACACACAGAAAACCTTAGAAAGAGTTCATGCTGGGGGCAAAAGCAAAGAAAATGCATGATATACATTTTCCCTTTTTCTCCCAGGTGCCGCATTTACCTCATTTTCATTTTAAAACTTGTGGAGATAATACTTGTCTTGGTCTTGCTGTGAGTGGAGTACTCGGAACTTCAGGGTTTTTTATCTAACGAGACGGCGGTGATAGGAGAGGGGAAAAGATGGTGGGGGCCGGGGCAAGTCGGTCAATTTAATTCCTGACGATCTGAAAGAGGTCAGGATCATTTCATATAGCCCTGGCTGAGCAGATCATTACCAGTCACAAATCTGTTGGTTACATGGCAAGGATTTATAGCTAAGTAAATAGGGAACCGTCATAAGTTCTGAAAATGGCGTGTTGGCCCTGCGATAATGGCTAAAGGACGATTTAATAGAGTTCGGCATTTATTCGTTATCTGTATGCGGACAGAGACTGAATTGGCACTATCGCTCGTTTTTTTTAATAATGTGGTAGGCTACTATTGCACATTCTTCTTTCTGTTTCCTCTGCATGCAACACACGCACAAATGTTGCTGCTCACACACACACAGACGCCACACACAAAGCAGCAAATGCACACACATTTTTCACACACGAACACTATACGGAATAGTTTCGATTTCAGTCACAGCAGAAGGCTTGGCCACAAGAGATTGTGCTGGTTTGAGCCGGCATGGACCAGATTTTACAGGCTACAAAGGAAGCAGATTACCACTTGTATCGAATTCCGTATTGGATAAAAAAAAATCTTTTGTTTGAAAAAAAAAAAATTGCTGATTATCATAACAGAAAAATTGCAGCAGTGCAATTTTGAATACTGGCTGGCATCACAAAAACACTAGGAAAGGCGCTCATGCAGGAGTAATTATAACATTTACCATATTCTGTATTTACTGCTCTGTATCTCTTGAGCAACGCGAGCATCGTTTGCTGTACTAAAGAATGGATGCCAAAGAAAAATAAAGCTAAACAGGAAGAAACAAGGAACACAGCTCAACATGCCCCCTTGTATAGTTTTAACAAATCCTCCACGAGGACTTGCAATCAGTCGTGCAGCACAAATGAGCTAGAACAAGTTTTGTTTGGTACCCATTGACTGATGGCAGAGCTGGGGTGAGGGATCGCAGGATCTGCTGGGGTTTTTTCAAGCCCCAAATAACCACATCCACAGTGTAGTTTTAAACTTTGGCCCCTTCAATAATTCATTCTTAGTGGGGAGTTGCTGCTTAAGTTAGAAAAGACAGTTTCCATTCTTAAGTGCGTCTTGTTACTGCCGACATTTTCAAGGAAGAGACAGCTCTTTAGAAAAACATGCAATTATACTTGTTTACCTCCCACATTACAGATATTGACAATATTTTTACAATTCTAATATTGTAGTGAAGCATTGTAGTTCTATTTTATGATTGGTGGAGGAAAAAAAAAAAACAAGTGAAGCAGAAACTATTTTTGAAATGCTTCTAAAATTACAGGGGGGGGAATGCTGTGACAAATGCAATATTGTAATGTGTGAAGTACCCGATACTTCTGTTTGTGTTTTATATAGGATAGATTCCATCTGAATGTATTATTATATGACAAAATTCTTTGAGTGTGTTTACTAGTGGTACAATATAAATAGACAAATGTATGCAGTACAGTGTTGTTTTTTTGTGTTTGTTTAGGATTTCAGTTTAAAAGGATGATAGAAGGAGCTCATGCGTAATTTTTTTCTTCTGTGTCACTTGTTTTGAATCATTTGAAAACAAAACTGACCCTCTCGCAGCTGTATTTTTTTTTAACCTTAAAGTTAGCAATCATGTTTGTAATTCACAATCTAAGAACACTCTGCTTTATACGATACAAAATGATTCCAGACTCAAAATTCAAAATAAACAGCACTAGCCCAGAGCCTCCCTTTAGATCTGCTAACCTTTAATGTTGGCCAAGAAATGTGGATTTAAAAAATAAATCACCTCTAAAGGGCTTGCGAATCAAGAAATTTGTCGTTCCCCTTTTTCTTTCAAAAGTGTTGCATTCCCACGATAAGCCCCAGCCTCCTCTTTCCTTCTCTACAGCCCTCACTTAAGAACATGCAAGGGAAGCAACCTTTATAATTGTGATTAGGCATAATTAATGGCAAATGGGATTGTTTCCCTCCCTCAAATGTCTGATTCATTATCAGAGATGCAAGGTTTTCCAGGAGAGGGAATAGGAATAGCATTTCTTATTTACTTCACTTTAAATTTGCTATTCTCTTTCATCAAAAATGTATAGCTACGCTAAGATTCATTTTTCATGATCTGTGGCTGTCCCAAAAATAAGCAGCATTGAATGTATGTACAGTGGTAGCCTCACATGAGCTTTCCACACATAATCTACCTTTACTGAGATGCATAAGCTACATGAAATATTGACAGCATATCAGCATTGATAAACAGTGGTACAAATGGAGTGGCTCAGCATTTCTCCAGCTTGGTTCCAAAGGGCACAGATTTCTTTTTATCCTTTTCCAGAGAATTCCGCAAAATGACAGATACAAAATATTGTTCCACAACATTTAAATCTGTAAATGTGCAGAC